TCCCCAACAAGCATGTCATAAGAGTCGACACATTAGGGGCTTCCTTCAAAATCTGAGTGCATCTGCCTGAAAGACAAGGAACCAACAATCTGCATATAATTAAGTCAGATGTGCTAATCGGATGTGCATGCAACACTCATGTTTTGGAACAAGACTAACTTCCAGAGGTGGACAAACAACCAGAACTTTCCATCAGAGATTACAGCTGGTGATTGCGAAGAAAGAAACAAGTAACAACTTCTGTCACACTTTTAAGGGTTTCATTTGAAACCCCTCACATTTTGTTAGAAAAAATACAGCCTCCACATTAGATTAAATGTATGTTTGAACCTTCTGTATATTTTCTGCTGCTAGGGTTACAAGAAGAGACAGAATGACAAGATGTATATGTTTACAAGAAGAGACAGAATGATAAGATATATATATGTTTATGTGACATACATTTTTCATTGAGAAATAACAAATACAATTATTTGGACTTCTTATGCGTTCAATATTTTTTTTTTAAATATCCAAAAACCATGAGTTGTTAACCCTTTGGCTCGGTACTATGGATATCGCAACCCTTCAGCATTGATTCCATGATAGGTACTGTAAATCTGGGAGAAAATGTGGCTTTTCTGCCTACCCCCGGGAGTGAACCTGGACCACACGGAGTTCGTCACCCGGTCACCGCCCAGTCCGGTTTAGCCAACTACGCTAGAGAGCCGGGCATGCGTTCAACATTAAAAGTGGTTCACAATATCTTTATCTTGTGGCCAAACACATCTGATTTCAGCAAATCCCCTGTTTAAAAAAATTGTTGACAACATACAGTCCTTTATTAATATCTTACACCAGATGATATCATAGGACAGTCCAACATTTTAGAGGGTGTTAGGACTGGGTTTCCTGGCTTTCTGATGCTTTTACTGACTCCACAACATTTAGAACTGGCCCTAACCCCAACCCAACTGGTCCCACGAGAGAGTGCAGCCTAGGTCCCACAACTGCATGCAGTTTGGGTCCCACGACTGCGTGCAGCCTATATACCACCCCCTGAAATATTAAGACTTGTGACCTGTGGATTTCCCCTGTTAGGGGTAGGATATTAATAAAACACCAAACATACTTGTTAGGGGTATGGGTCTTTAGTGCCCTCCCCTACCAAACTTAGGGCTCCTGAACCTGCCTTAGAAGTTGCATATTTGTGTACCTGTCAAATATTTTAAGCATTGCTGCAAGCTGTTTATATATCTGATCTTCTTCTAGTTCATGCTGTGGTGTTTCTTCTGTGTGTTTATCGGCTGTAAACTCTGGTGCAAAGTTCTGGTTGTTTGTCCACTTACTGTCTAAAAACTAATTAAGCAACTCCTGTGATAGGGAGGCAGTGATTTTTTTTTTTGGGGGGGGGGGGGGGGGGGGGGGGGGGGGGGGGGGGGGGGGGGGGGGAGGGGGGGGGAAGGGGGCGAGTCCCCACATGGTGAGTGTGATGTTTGATAATCATTTCTGTCTGTGGCTTTCTGTCTTGTGACCTGTCAAAAATGTATATTACCGCTCGGATTTGAACCCATAACCTCCAGATCCACAGGCCAGAGTCTGACAGCTTATATCATAAATAACTAACATCTACTAGAAGACTATGGCTGCAGTTGACATAGAGCAGAGAATGCTTTTCACACTAAATCAGCACCTGATCCTGTCAGTGGGTGGATTATGGCCTGGGACTGCTTACCGTCTCGAAGAGTCAGATGGACAAACTAGAGCGCATACAGAACGCGGCTATGCGGGTCATTCTGGGTTGCACCAGAGACACTCCAGTGGCGTGTATGCGATACATCCTTGGTTTGTCGACTGTTGCAGGTAGGCACAAGGTGCTGCAGGCGAAGACATATCTCAGGGTAGCTGTAGACACAGACCACCCTTTGCATGAAGCTCTGGGTGCAGTTAAGGTTCAGCGGCTGAGGGAGGTCATGGAGATGGCTCAGGCAGAAAACACAATCAGACAGATTTGCATCCTTGAGAACATTAGGTTGCAGATCATGAATACATGCAGACAGCAGCGGTGTGGCATGGGGCGGGAAGTAGCAGATTCCGTCTCGCGCGTGTGTGTGCCTTTGTTTCTAGCGAGTCCGGCAGAATGAACAGTATTAACCTTCAAAGATTTTAAAAAAGGGCTCTTTTCATGAGAGTGCCCACTGGGCATATGATGCTTGAGTCATATTATTGTAGACTAATCGGATGGATGATGTGGGCAATATCATGTCAGTCGCCTTTACTTCCCAGAACTTTTACCTGGTACCAAGTTTAGACTGGTCGACCTGGGAGCCAATGTCATTTTTAAAAAAAATCCTGCTTGATGCAGGTTTGAACCCCAAGACATTCGAACTGGCAGGCAAGTATCTAGCCACTACCTACTGCAGCTCCCACTTCACGGGTAATAAATACAAGCATGTCAATATGGCAATACGTATAGAAACTAATCTGTAGGCTACCATGAGTGTTTAAAATCATATGAAAGCTTCTTATGAGACATACTATACATGAAGAGGCTGACAAACTGTGTGACATAACGGGAACTGAAATTCCAGCAGTGCATTTAAAATAGGTGTGTGTGTATATATATATATATATATATATATATATATATATATATATATATATATATATATATATATATATATATATATATATATATATATATATATATATATATATATATATATATATATATACTCACACACATACACCTCATATATATATATAATTAACAGACATAAACAAATAAATATCCTCATAAAAATGTATATGTACAATTAGCCATATTACCGGGTAAAACAGAGGTACAATCACACATGTGCCCTCACAACACAGACACAATCACACATGTGCACTCACAACACAGACACAATCATAAATGTGCCCTCACAAAACAGACACAATCACAAATGTGCCCTTGCAACACAGACAAATTCAATCACAAATGTGCCCTCGCAACAGACAAAATCACACATGCGCCCTCATGACACAATCATACATGTGCCCTCACAACACAGACACAGTCAATCACAAATGTGCCCTCACAACACAGACACAATCAATCACAAATGTGCCCTTACAACACAGACAAAATCAATCACAAATGTGCCCTCACAACATAGACAAAATCAATCACACATGCGCCCTCACAACACATACACAATTACACATGTGCCCTCACAACACTGACACACTCACACATGTGCCCTCACAACACTTACACAAAATATAAGCATGGAAATCCTGTGGTGTATAGGGCCTCACAGTTTTGTCTCTACCTTTATATTATAATATTTACAACTGCCTGCATTTGCTGAATGAAGGCCTCAAAGATGTCTTAATGGAGAATTACACCAATGCATAAACAATACAACAAGTAAAGAAACTATTCATGTCCTGTGGCATTTTATGCATACGGTGGTGCATTCATATATTTTTTTATACACCTTCTTCTTCTTCTTCTTCTTCTGCAGGTTCACCGGCTGTAAACTCAGGCAGAAAGTTTTGGGTGTTCGTCCACCTCCGGACTTTTAAGTTTTGTTCCAGAGGCTGCATGTTTGCCTGCACATCTGTTTCACAGTTCTGGCTTATTTGTGTGCAGATTCTTGGTTCTTTGCCTCTCACGCAGATGTACTCTGATTTCAAAGGACTCCTTTGACATGCTTGTTTGTGCAGCAGTAAGTCTACTGTTACACCCCCCCCCCCCCCTCAATGAGGCTCCGCAGCCCACAGGTGGATTTTGTAGACCAACAGGCACTTAATGATGATGTCTTCATCATCATCATTATCATGCCCTGACACCTTTACTTCCCAGACAATTCCCTGGTACCATTTTAGCTGCAGCAGACCTGGGAGGCCAGACCATGTTTAAAAATGTCTCAATGGAGATTTGAACCTAAGACCACCAGGCCTCATGCAGCCATGGTAGCCACTGCGTTACTATAGCTAAATCCACCTGTATGCATCTAAAAATACTCTGTCATTCTGTCTGTACTGTGAGATGCCTTTTGCCACTCACAAGGTACTCAGTTGCATACACATATACATGTGATTTCAGCTCAACAAATACATTCAAGATGCAAAGTATATAGACTAAACATGGGTGGACATGTAAGCATGCACTCTTTCACTCACTCACATACACAAGTGCACACACACTCTTACTCACTCATACCATCCCACCCCCTCTCTATCTCTATGTCTCTCCTCTATCTCTCTCTATGTCTATCCTCTCTCTCTCTCTCTGTCACACACATACACACAACCAGAACATTTGAAATGCTGAAGTTATTTTATGACTAAAATGTCATATAACACATTCACATTCAATGACCAACATCAGCTGGGTTCATGTGGTGAGATAATTGGTAACTACTGACCTCTGCACAACCAGAACCTTTACTTCACACATCGGAGCCAAATGGGCAGCAATTCAGGAAAGGAAATGGTTTGTCATGGTCATCATTCTCTTCCACTAAAAGCTGAGTAAAATACTGTTTCCCCCAAAATAAGACTAGATCTTATAATAATTTTTGCTTTAAAAGAGATTTTTAAAAAGTCTACATTTATTCAAATACATCTTTCTCTGGAACACTGTCATAACTCTCCAAATCGCAATTTCTGGCCTTAATTTCGTGCAACTTCAATTCCTTAACCACTGACCCAAGTCTCATATTCTAGACGATGATCTTAACTAGGGTGTATTTTTGAGGAAGGGCTAACAGCAAAAGCATCCTGAGAAATCATGCTAGGGTGTATTTTCGGGGTAGGTCTTTTTTTCATGGGGGGTAGGGGGGCGGGGGGGAACAAGGTATCGATTTTTATACAATGAAAGGAGTTTTTCAAGGTTTTCATTCTCTTCCACTGGAAAACGAGTCAATGGATACTGATACAATGAAAGTGATTTTCAATGTAATCATGCTGGTTGGGCTTCACGTGCAGCAATTCTGGAAATGAAAGACTTGTTGCTGTATATTCAAGACTCAGTGAGGATGCAGCATCTGATGCTCATGTCTGCTGCTTTCATGCTGCGTTTGTCCCTGTTTCGTGTCAGCACCCACTGCCTCAGAAATGTGATTGAAGCCATCTCGCCTAAGGATGTAGGAGGGAAAAAAAATATCTCTTTATTGCTTGTGTTTCCATTTTTAGGGCAGCCTATCATGGACGGAAGCAATGGCAAACTACTGGATGTAAATTTGCGTAGAGAAACCACACAACAGACAGGGGCTGCTGGGGTTGGTTCTGCAATGTCCTGTAAAGGATACGCAACTAACCTTATCGTGGACAGACAATTAGAGAAAATTTATTTGGAAGTGGCGGAGTTGTTTTATAGACAAGTGATAAGGACAACAGGGATCTTGAAATCCCATGCTGTAATTGTGGAAGACTTTTTTTCTTAGCCCGGGCGGGTCTTGGTAGTGACTCTCGCCATCGCCATGGGCTGTGAGTCCCATGCCTCCCCACAGAGAGATTTAACACTGTCGTCTGGAAAGATGGAAAGGTGCCAATCTATTAATTATAAGAATACCCCTGACAAAATCTATCAATGATAAGAATACCCCTGACAGATAAAGAGAGTAAAGAAGATGAAAGAAAGTGACTCATGAAGAGAACTGATTACCCATACCAAAAGGAGACAATCTTCATTCTTTGGTCATATCACAAGAAGAAAAAGAAAGAAGTACATGTTGATGGTGGGAAAGTTGGAGGGAAAAAAAGGCACAGGGAGACAGAGACAAGATGCTGGACAATCTGACATCATTGCATGGAAGATCATCTGTGTTACAACTGACTGACAAAAGGTTTACAACTGCTGGTATACATGATCTCATTTCCAAGTTTTTTTTCCTTGTTTTCAATTATAATGTTATTTTAATTATAACATTGGCCAGTGCAAGTTGAAGACCCACTTAAGTCACTGACAGAAAGTATGTCTTCTTCTTCTTCTTCACATTTGGTTTCGTATGCTCAGATCAGACAATCAGGTGGATTGCCTCTATGAACTCGCATGTCAGTAGCAGGTCCTTCATGGTTCCTTATAGTTTGCTCTGCATACTTTGCTCTTGAGGCCAGGTGTCTTTTTGAAGTTGTATGTAGTGTGGGCAGGTCTGCAGAATGTAGTCAGGTGTTTGTGGTCCTGTTTGACAGGCTCACTGTGGGGACTACAATCTTTATTTTATGCATGTTGTAGTTAAGCCTGCAGTGTCCTGTTCGTAGACGGAAAATTGTTGTATGTTGCTTTCTTTTAAATCTGCTGATGGTGTCTTGTGGATGTTTACTGTTAGTTTGTTCTCTCCACAATTTCTTGTATTTTCCCTTGATAAGTGTTCTGATTTCTATTAATGACCATGGATAGGTGCGTTGTTTCTCTTTTGTTCCATTTTTTGCAAGTCTGTCTGCTAACTAATGTCTTGGTTTGCCGTAGTAAGCCGGAATCCACTGGAGAACGATTTAATTGTTTTTTGTGACCCTGTTTAGCTGGCGGGTCAGTTATCTCTTCATGTTGTTTCATAAATCCCTCTGAGTTGCCTGGAGGACTGACATGCAGTCACAAAAAACAACAATTTTGCTGTTTTTAATTTTTCTTTTCTTGAGCACTTTGTCTAAATCAATAATTGCTTGTTGCTCTGCTCTGAAGTTTTTTGAGTCTTCCGGAGGTGCATGATGTTTCTACTGTGGTCCCATCTTGCAGCATGATGACCGATCCAGCTCCTCCATTTTCATTCTGCTCCCTCCAATGATCTATTGGTGTATATGTGTGTCCATTCAGGTTTTGGATAAAAGCTGTAGACATGTTAAAGGGTCTTTGCATGCAGTACTAGGTCACATTCTTCAGCCTTTCTGTCTATGCCTGGAACTGTTGTTGTTACTGTATAGTTAGGCTGTAGGCCTATGCTGTATGCCTGGTACATTTCCCATGTTGAAGGGTCTTTAGAAAGGATGTCACTGTTTTTTTGTGTAGTACAATTTTGATAGATGGTGAAAGCTTTGTCTTTTCAGTCGGTTTTTGGTTATTTGCTATTCTGTGCATGGGGTTGTTGTTTATGCATTACAATTTTTTTGTTAGGGTAAGCACCGTTTCTTCCCTTCAAAGGCTCAAGCTCTGGAGGCCAGAAGTTGCCTCCAGCTCATGAATTGGTGTTCTTCTCATACCTCCAGTGATGATTCTGAGACCAGTGTTCTGTATTTTGTCCAGTTTGTGTAGGCTTCATATGGCTGCAGTGAAGTATGCTCCCATGCCACACTCCAGTTTTGGTTGTACGTATCCTCTGTATACTTGTCATACAGTGTTGGCATCTGCACTCCAGCTTGTTCCAGTAAGTTTCTTCATAAGTCTGAGCCACAGGGTAGCTTTCCTTCGGGTGTCTTCAATGTGTGGGCCCCAGGTTAGCCTTTTGTCGAATTTTACTTCCAAATATGTGAGGATATCCTCTTTTGGAAGGATGTTGTCTTGTAGACACAGATCAACTTGCTCTGGCTTTGTGGAAAGAGAGATGGTTTTAGTCTGTTAATTTCTAAACTGTATTTATAGCTTCCTGCATTCTTGTTTTAGTTGTTCCTACATGTTCAGCTTGGGCCCCTATGGCCAGGTTATCTGCATGTAAGGCCTTGTGAATGCGGGTCATAAACTGTTGTGGAAGGTCATTGACGAAAAGAATAAACAGGGTAGGAGATATAACACCTCCCTGGGGGACACCTTCTTGTAACCCGACCAGCTTGCTCCTGTGTTTTTTCAGTCCGACAGCGTCTGTAAAGAAAGTCTCTAATCCAGGCAAACATGGATTGAATTTCTCACTGTGTGCTAGTTTTAGCAGGAGTCCTTTCTTCCTGATCTTATCAAAGGCTTTGGTCAAGTGGAAGAAGGTAGCTAGCAGTTTGTAATTTTTCTCTAAAGCATCTTCAATTTTCTGTGCGAGATAAGAGGTTTGGTCATCAGTGCCTCTGTATCTACTGAAGCCTGATTGGCTGTTATCCAATATCTTGTTTTCTTCCAGGAAATTAAGTAACCTTTTGTTCACTAATTTTTCCATGGTCTTTCCAAGGCAGCTTAGGAGGCTTATGGGGCGGTACCTGGATTTGTTTTTCTTGGGCTTTCCTTTCTTGGCCATGGGGACTATTTCTGCCTCCTTCCATTCCTTAGGAAGTAGTCCCTGGGTCCAAGATTGATTGATAAGGTCTACGAGTTGTTGCCTACCAGCTAGTCCAAAGTGTACTATCATTTCATTTGTCATTTGATCAGGCCCAGGTGCCTTTCTCTCCTTAAGATTTCTTAATGCGCATTCAAGTTCTTGGGGACTGAAGAGTTTATTCATTATTTCTTGGTTATCTTCTTGCTTTTTGTTTATTTTCCTCAGTTCTCTCGTCACTTCTTCTTCTCTCGCTCTAGACATGAAAATGTCGCAATCCTTTGCAAAACTATCAGCCAGCAGGTTTGCTGCTTATTTACTGATGAAAGTTTTCCCACCATCTTCAATGACAGTGTGGGCACGGCTGGTATTATTCTCCTCATTGAGACTCTTTACTAGATGCCATAGCTTTTTTCCATCTTTCTCCATGTTGAGAGCTGCAGTCTTTTCCTGCCATCTTGTCCGGATGCATGTGAGTTTTTCTCTTCTATAAATAGCCTGATGTTTATTGTGTTCTGTTACGTTGAGGTCAGAGTGATCTAGTTCTATTTTTACTCTTGCTGCAGTCCTTCATTGATGCAGCTATTGCAGACACAGAAATAGGTAAGGACAAGAAACAAAAGATAATCATTTGCAGTTAGAGGTAATGACAGGAAGCAAGAGATAATCATTTGCAGAAATAGGTAAGGACAGGAAACAAGAGATAATCATTTGCAGAAATAGGTAAGGACAGGAAACAAGAGATAATCATTTGCAGAAATAAGTAAGGACTGGAAGCAAGAGATAATCATTTGCAGAAATAGGTAAGGACAGGAAACAAGAGATAATCATTTGCAGAAATAGGTAAGGACAGGAAACAAGAGATAATCATTTGCAGAAATAGGTAAGGACAGGAAACAAGAGATAATCATTTGCAGAAACAGGCACGGTCAAAAAACAAAAGATAATCATTTGCAGAAACAAGTAAGGTAAAGACACAAAAGATAATCATTTGCAGGAAGAGGTAAGGACAAGAAACAAAAGATAATCATTTGCCGATAGAGGTAAGGACAGGAAGCAAGAGATAATCATTTGCAGATAGAGGTAAGGACAGGAATCAAATTGAACAGCCCTGCTTTAGAGTCAAGAAGACCAACCTGAGGAGTTCGGCCATCTCCCTCTTGATCTTGCTGATAACTGGAGGACCGTGAAAAACCAACGCTGTGTACACCTGAATCAAGCAGGCACCTGCCTTCACCTTATCGTAGGCATCCTGACCACTGCTCACTCCACCCACTCCGATTATGGGAACCTGACCTAAATAAAGTGAATAACAATATTTGGTAAGATCCACTATAATATCCCCAGCCGAACTAGCCATTGATACATTTTTTACAGTTCTGCTGTCTGGGAGGATTTCGGCTATGTTGGTCCTTTCTGGCTCATCTTGCATTTATGTTATTCTTCCAATAAAGAGAATGCCTGTGACATAGGTTGCAGCACTCTCTAGGGTGGTTATGGGTTAGACCCAGTTTGAAAATGTTTTTGTAGTGTTAGAAGCGCTGGCGTGTTTAAATATTCAACACGCTATATCAACGCATTGCCGAACACCCCCCTAGCAGTGTGCCAAGGTGGGGTGACTGGAGGTCGACCAGTCAGAAATGAGCTAGTGTGTAACATGGGGAGATTATCGTGGATCATACCCAATATTTTTATAATAAAGAAAAGGACTCGTTTTCATGTACTGTAAAGGTTAAAGGTTACTTTTTCTGTGAGGTAGTGGGTCTGTTCTTGTTTTCCTCACTATGGGTCCTGGAACCCACGCGGGGATACGAGGATATGACTTTCAAAGAGGTACAGCATGCAGTGGAGGCAGTTACTGGGAAAGTCAGATTTCTTTATAATGATCTGATCAAATGTAGCAAGTTTAAGAACTCATTGCCTGATGGTCAGGATTCAGTGTGAAAACATCACTTACACACATCATGCACTGCCTGAGGACTGAAAGAGTTAAGAACTCATTGCCTGATGGTCAGGATTCAGTGTGAAAACATCACTTACACACATCATGCACTGCCTGAGGACTGAAAGAGTTAAGAACTCATTGCCTGATGGTCAGGATTCAGTGTGAAAACATCGCTTACACACATCATGCACTGCCTGAGGACTGAAAGAGTTAAGAACCCATTGCCTGATGGTCAGGATTCAGTGTGAAAACATCGCTTACACACATCATGCACTGCCTGAGGACTGAAAGAGTTAAGAACTCATTGCCTGATGGTCAGGATTCAGTGTGAAAACATCGCTTACACACATCATGCACTGCCTGAGGACTGAAAGAGTTAAGAACCTATTGCCTGATGGTCAGGATTCAGTATGAAAACATCGCTTACACACATCATGCACTGCCTGAGGACTGAAAGAGTTAAGAACTCATTGCCTGATGGTCAGGATTCAGTGTGAAAACATCACTTACACACATCATGCACTGCCTGAGGACTGAAAGAGTTAAGAACTCATTGCCTGATGGTCAGGATTCAGTGTGAAAACATCACTTACACACATCATGCACTGCCTGAGGACTGAAAGAGTTAAGAACTCATTGCCTGATGGTCAGGATTCAGTGTGAAAACATCACTTACACACATCATGCACTGCCTGAGGACTGAAAGAGTTAAGAACTCATTGCCTGATGGTCAGGATTCAGTGTGAAAAACATCACTTACACACATCATGCACTGCCTGAGGACTGAAAGAGTTAAGAACTCATTGCCTGATGGTCAGGATTCAGTGTGAAAACATCACTTACACACATCATGCACTGCCTGAGGACTGAAAGAGTTAAGAACTCATTGCCTGATGGTCAGGATTCAGTGTGAAAACATCACTTACACACATCATGCACTGCCTGAGGACTGAAAGAGCTAAAAGCAAGAGAACTGATTTCACTGCACTGGGTTTTATCCCACACGGCTTCACATAATGGCTAGCCACCTGCCAAGAGTATCATCAATTCATAAACACTTTAGCTCTATCAACAATCCTGGGGGAGGGGTCTTTATACAACTTGCACTCGTAAACCGAACAACCCAGCCGGGAAATAAACTCACAATCTTCAGAATGCGGGGCAAATGGCTTAACCACTTCACCACTGTTGTACAAAAGTAAGGATCCCTCTTTCATGTCATCAGGTATTTAAAAGACATTTAAAGGAAAGGGTGGCTCTGTGGGTTAGAGATTAGTGAAATGGTTTCACAGTGCAATCAGTGATGTTTATCTTCTTCTTCTTCTTTGCATTCACCGGCTGTGAATTCCGACGTGAAGTCATGGCTGTTTATCCATCTGTACTTTGGCTTTTTATCAGGACCTGAGTTTTGTATGTAAATTTGTTTTACTGGATCTGAACTCGTCGCTTGCTTCTGAAGATGGGGACTAAGCACTTATGGGAGTGTTCTGAGTCCTGTGATGTCGATTCTTAATTCAACATTCATTCTACTGGCTTATTCCTGTATCATTCTTGTTCCCTGCCTCTCGGGCAGATGTACTCCGACTTCGAGGGACTTGATGTTTATCAACGTTTTATTTGGGAATGTGGACGGTTTGAAAAAAGAACCTTTCTACTTGGCTTTCAGTTCCCCTTTTTGGTTCCTTGTTCTCACTATGAAAAGGGGGGGGGGGATTAGAACACCACCCACCAATAACCATGTGATAAAGCCGACTAACTGGGAATGTTTTTTCTGAAGTCGAAGTGCATTAGCCTGAGAGAGAAGGAACCATCAGTCTGCATGCAAATAAGACAGATCTGCAAAATGGATGCACACGTAAGGCCCAAGTTCTGAAACATTACTGAAGTCCAGAAGTGGATGAACAGCCAGAACTTCCTGCCACAGTTTACAGCCAGTGATGCAAAGAAGAAGGCAATGGTGTTCAAACAGGGGTATGAGAGTGGCACTGTGGAAGAGTCTACAGCCTCACTACATAATATCCCCATAGTCAGAAATGGTAACACTGTAGCCAACTTCCACTGTGAAGATATAAAGGTCCCTTTAGCAACTTGACACCCCAGAAGTGCAATGGGCATATGATGCCAGACGCATATTTTTATAGACCAATCAGCCCTCAATGGATGATGGGGTCAACATTACACAGGCTGCCTTTGCTTTCCAGGGCTGTACCTGTTACCCATTTAAGGCTGGGTCGACTTGTGAGCCAAAGTCATATCTGATACAAATTTAGCACCATGCAGATCTGAACCTATAATTTAATTTTAAGGTAAAAAGAACACTACACGAGTTGTTCTTATCCTATAAGGTTCAATCTCATTAGTCATCTGCCAGTCAGACATGTGCTAATAGTTTAAATCTTGAATGTAAATCATCATCATCATTAATTAGCAGATCCTTACAGTACATCACTCTCGTCACGGCACGCCTGAAAGTCTTTCTCTACACAACTGTCCAGCCCTATGTGCTTTCACAGCCAATGCATCTTCAATGTCTTGTGTCTACCTCTGCACAGGTGCATCTGCCTCATTTTCATTTTCTGAAAGTTGCTCCCTCTCTCTCTCCAGGCCACCATGATGTTTGACAAGGCTAAAATACCTCAGCTTTCGGGACAGGATGCTGTTTATGAGCCAATTCTCCTCAATGCTCAGATCAAGCATGACGTCCCATGTTTTCCCTCTTCTTGATCCATGGCTATCTAAGAATGTTTCATGTAGTGTTTCAGAACGCTCCCATTTTTTGGGGGATAAGAGTCTATAATTCACATCCATAACTTGCCATGGGAAAGAAGCAAGATCTCAAAACTTTCACTTTAACTCCCTTGCAGATGTCGTGCCATGGGTTCTCCATGCTATTTGGTCTCTTTGCATTAATAAAATCAGTTGTTTCCTTACTTAGTATATGCAGTCGCCATTGTTTGTCGCCACTGTTAGTTCACTCATCATCATCATGTTGCAGGTCCTTCGCAGAACGTCGCTCTCATCACAGTCTGCCTGAAAGAAACTCGGTCTCTCGCCAGTTCTCCCGCCACATGCATTTTCACATTCAAGGAGTCACCTATATCCTGTGCCCATCTTCGTGTAGGTCAGCCACTGCCCCTCCTTTCTGGTACCATGCCTTCTGCTATAATTTTTTCCAATCCGTCGTGGCGCTTGATATGACCAAAATATTTCAGCTTTCAAGAAAGGATGCTGTTTATTAGCCAATCTTTCTTGATGTTCAGATCTTTTGAGATGTTAATATTTCTCATCTTCTTTGTCCAAGATATTCTGAGAATCTTTCTATAACAATTTAGCTCAAAAGCCCCTATTCTCTTTCTTAAAGACTGACAGATAGTCCACGACTCACATGTATGTAGCCACAGGGAAGATACATGCTCTCAAAATTCTAATTTTGTTCGTTACTTAGCCTAAATATTCCAAATCTGAGATATTTTTATCTCTCCATTATAGATATTAGTACATAGCTGATGTGCTGTATTAATTATGGACATTATTGTTGCTTTTCAAATTCAGAAAACATTCTCTACTTCACTGTGCTTCACAACTATCAGAATTAGTTATTTGAAGCACTGTACACTGATGTAAAGGAGACCTATGCCCTCTGCATATCTGAGTTTTTCTGTGACAGATTTGCCTCCAACTGTGAGAGGATCCAAGCTGCCACAGACCTCATCACTTACTGCATTTCTCATAATATTTTTAGCATAAATGTTGAACAGGTATCGAGAGAGAAGACAGCCCTATCTGCTCATTTCTGCACCTTGAACCAATCTGATGTTTCACCAGCTACTCTGACTGCTGCTTGGTGTTCATGGTGAAGAGATTACCTGTTTAGAATTTCTATGGATATGTAATGTGGCAGTCTCCCCTTGCTTTCCACATCTACATGGCTGAGCACTTCAACCTTTAGCAATCTTTTCATAAATAGCACCTTGAACCAATCTGATGTTTCACCAGCTACTCTGACTGCTGCTCGGTGTTCATGGTGAAGAGATTTCCTGTTTAGAATTTCCATGGATATATAATGTGGCAGTCTCCCCTTGCTTCCCACATCTACATGGCTGAGCACCTCAACCTTCAGCAATCTTTTCAGGATGGCAAGGTAAGTGGGTACCCTGCTCTGTGATGCTATGGCTATTAGCAGATAGCATAGCACAATTTCCCACTTATCCTGGAAGATATATGGTCCCCAAGAGTGGGTCAGCCACAAGGAGGTGAATTTCCATCCTCCACCATGTGGATTTTCCACTTCATCTAAATGTGTGACAAGGATGGCATTTCCCATACTCTCTGTGCACTTTTGTAGGAAACCTTTTGAAGGTACTGTTCTAAAATTGTGTGTACATCAATAGGACATCTGTGTGTATGCCCGCAAGCAAGCAGGCAAACACACACAGGCACGCATGCATGTGCACACACACACAACCCCATCTTGGAGCCACATCAGACAAACCCACCTTGTGTCAACTTGTACATGTCTCTGATAGTTTCCAAAGCTTTCGCCTTCAGTGGCTCTCCACTCAGTCCCCCTGGCTCTTTCTTCAATTTGCTCCTGAGGGAAGTGGGTCTAGATACTGTTGTATTACACACAATCAGTCCATCAACTCGGCACTGAATGAATCAAGGAAAGAAAAGGATATGATTTGTCTGTGCTGGGTATGGTATTTACTAGGGCTGTACCGAATATTCGCTTCGTATTAACTTCGGGGCCGAATAGTGGACCTATTGATTATTTGGTATTTGGCCAAATAGTTGTGGTCGATCCGAATATGAATAGTTGTTACCTTACACCCGCTCCTGCATACACGGCCTTAATGCTGACAACATGGAATGATTGGTCTTTGTGAAAGCTAATGCAGCTTTCCTGCATTAACTGAGCTGTCAGTGACAATTTCCAAGTTTAGCTACATGTTATAATACTTAGGATTCTTTCAATCCTAGTTATTAGTTACCACAGACTGACTGAAGGTTGCAAAACATAAAATGTTTTTAAATGTTTACTATTCTGTACGAATACTAACTAGACATGGAAAGAAAATAAATTCCGGCCACATCCAAGTTGATAATATGAAAATCAAACGAACGGAAACATATAGGTACTTGGGTGCAAACTTCAACTTCTCCAACATGTTGAGAGAAGAAATACAATCTAGAAATAAAGTATACTATGCCCTTCAACATCTGCTAAAGTCAAAGTTTCTGTCTTGCAACACCAAGATCAAAATATATAAAATGTTGATAAGACCAGTCGTTTTATATGGCTCTGAAACTTGAAGCAGAAATAAATGAGGCCTTATTACAGGTTTTCTAAAACAGTCTTACGACAAATCTTTGGATCCATTAAAGATGCTAACAGCTGGGAATGGAGAGAGAGAGAAGCAACAATGTAACATATAATCTGTTTAAATCACCATTGATTCCATTGAGAACTGGCATCATGAGAGCTAACACACTAAAATAGTTGAGGCATATTAAAAGAATATCAGATGACAGAGAAGTAAAAACTGTATACACCTGAGAGAGGAATGGGGGTAGACCACGAGGTAGACAAAAAAGAAGTTCGAGAGATAATGTCCAGCCAGACCTGCAAACAACTGTTGTCACAAATTGTGAAGAGAAGGCCAGCCCGAGAGATGAATGCAGACGAGTGATATCTGCAGCAGTAAACCTCAAGGGCTCAGAATGCTAAATATGAAGATGACTATTCTTTGCTACTATATGTGAAGTTAAAATTTTAGCGTACATTTGACATTATATATTTTATACACTATTCGTATTCGGCCGAATAGTTGGTCCCGTTACTCGTGAAAATCACTACTTGGTACAGCGCTAGTATTCACCAAGATCAAAATATATAAAACGTTGATAAGACCAGTCATTTTATATGGCTGTGAAACTTGGAGCACAACTAAAAGAGATAAAGGCTTATTACACGTTTTCAAAAACAGAGTCTTACAATGAATCTTTTGACAAGAGCAGAGAAAGATGAAGAGAAATTAGTTAAAATGGCATATGGTATGAAGACAGATTTGTTATATGTGCGTTAACTGTGAGACTATTAATAATTTCAGTAGCAGCGACTCGCCATGATTTCATTGGTGAGTCCAAAGACAGTACACCTTCATGACTCTCTTTTATAACCGACACTTGTTACATTAGCTCATGAACACGACACATAAACAAGGGACATCTTACGTGGGGTCTCGTAATCACATCTGCAATATTCTTCTTCTCGTTATCACTTAAATCAGGAGATATCTTGACCAGAAGGGCTGGCTTTGGGGTGACCATCAGATTATCTCTCTCATCCTTCACCTGCAAGTCATTAAAATAAAGTTTATTTGTACTGGTTTGAAATGATTTAAAAACTAACGGTCATGTTATGGTATCACAATTGACATACTGCATGCTGGGCATTTCCATGCATGATCTGTCCTCCGATGCTGAAGTCACTCCAAGGTATCTCTAATGATGGTTCCTGTGAGGAGTTGAATATTGCAGTAATGCTTTTTTTTTTTAAAAGTATCCAGAAGCCATGAGTTGTTAACCCTTAGGCTCAGTATTATGGATATCGCAACCCTTCGGCCTTGATTCCATGATAAATACCCTAAATCTGGGAGAGATGTAGCTTTTCTGCCTACCCCTGGGCATGAACCCAGACCTCATATATCACCCGGTCACCACGCAATCCGGTTTAGCCAAGTACGCTAGCGAGCCGGGGACAGTAATGCTAAATCTAAATTGGGGAAATTCCATGATATTAGCATGTGACAGAGGGAATTTCCAAGTGGAGAGGTTATAGCTAAAAGGTCAGCTAGAAAACAGCCAAGTTTAGAATGTCTAGGAGCAATTGTGGGAATATAACTAATTTGGAATTTACGTGTGAGAGCAAACAGCACCAGAAGAATGGCATGGGGAAAAAGGGAATGAGCTCAGGAGAGTGGAAGTTAGGTTCACTCTGTGTGAGACCTTCAGAGGGAAAAGTATGCTTAAAGTGTGCGAAGATTAGACAGAACACCTGTGTCGCCTGCACAAAACACAGAAATCAACGTTTCTGCTGCAGCCTTTCTCGTCATGAACAAACTAAACAACAGTAACAAAGGAGAAAGTGCTCAACCGCTAGCGCCCACAGGTGATGTGGACCGAATAACGTAATAAAGTAAGGCTCGAAAAATAGTCAGAAAGGTAAAGATTGTCTGAGTGAAAGGAGACCACCGATTGTGAGCAGCTGACGACAAGTGTGAACGAATGCTGTCCACATGTTGAAACAAGGTAGTGTGTTTATGTCTAAATAAATGACAGTAGGTGGCTATAGTCGACTAATTAGGAGTTTCCTTTGAATTTAAAGTGCATATGGCTAAGAGGCCAGTAACCAACAGTCTGCATATAAATAAAACACAAGTTCTAGAACTCTGGAAGTTTACAGCCAGTGTACCCTAAGAAGAGGAGAGTAGGAGAATTGAAGCAGGTCTAAGTCAAAGGATGATATTAATGACTAAGGACATGCTTATCAAACAGGGACTATCATGAGCTATAAGGTAAGTGAAGTGACACAGAACACCTGACAGAAATCAGTGCAAAGATATGAGCACTAAGTCACCTTGACAAGACCGAGTTTGTTGATGATGGTGATGGTGATGACCACATCTTTCATGTTTTTTAACATAATTGACTCTATGACAAAAAAAAAAGCAAGATCAAGTGAAACAAATTCCTTTGTGTTCCTCTTTGACCAATCAATTAGGTACCATCTTCACACTGAAAGTTAGCTGCAATGGATCGCCAACACTCCCTGTCTCTTGTTTTTCCCCCACTTATAATGTTGACTACCTCTTTCTCTTGCAAAAAGAAGCGTATGTCTTTTAATATGGCTAAAATAATTCAACTCTCTCTTTTTTTTTAAATTTCTTTTAATAATTCTCTGTTCATTGTTCTGCTTACCTTGTGCAACAGTAAAGTCAGCTCTTCCTGTCTGTGCATATCTCTGAGACCTTGAATGCTGGGACTTGAGATATTCACAACCAGATAGTCTGCCACCCGGCCAAATCGACGCACCCCTTTGACATAGTCATCCAGTGGACTGGGAGAAATTGTATTTCTGCCTAGACTAACTCCAACGATACCATTTGCTGAAGACAAATAAGCACTTTTAGACAGTTTAAGAAAAAAAAAAGGTAAAAAAAATAAAGGTAATCGCAGTTCCAACGTCACAGCAAACAAGCCACCCCATAGCTATTCTGTTCCTGTGCGAACAATAATTACACAGAATGTCCATTACTGTCGCTTATGAAATAAATTTTCACAGGCTGCTGTTCCAGCAACTGCATACATACACATCAAATGCATAAGGCAGCCATCAGAAGTGCCAACACAAACAGTCTGACACTAGAAATGCAATTCACTGTTGACGGAAGCAACAGTTACAAAAGATCAGTAGTTGCCCATGCAATTAATCACATAATGCACCACAAATTCTCTAGCAACAGGCCACAACGTCATTTTCTGAATATGCAGTTCACAATACAAACCATGATGGGCACAGCAGAAAATAATTTCAAATGAAATTCAGAGCCCACAGTGTCACGCCATGTACTCAACTGAATAGTAGCTGGCTGATGGAACTATATCCTTTCAGTCTACACATGAAAGCAAATCAACAGCTAACTACTGTCAGAAGCAAAAACTTGCTATGAATTTAAACTGTAAACCTGTCTTTCCAACTCAATGATTGAAAATTCTATGCAAATAAGAAGAATAAACGCAATTTATGGTGACAAAAGTGTCTGCACAACCGCTGGTTTCAAGAGCAAATTTGACAGGAGATGGCAATATACTGGACACAGTCTAGGATATTCACCAAACAGGCACAAATACTGGTCCCAGTGACAGACAATGTTACATATGAGTAACAAATGCTGGTTCCAACAAACAGGTAGAAATAAGAAGCCAGCTGGAGGTGATTACAATAGAATCACACGACTATGGCATGTGGTGCTAAAAGCATGATCCAGCGGGTCGAGGCCGGCTGGTTATGTAGTGTGTCCCAGGCACAAAAATTCTTGTCAATCAGTACAGGACTGGCACTATTAACCATGTGAGACTGATAAATATGTTGAGAAGGAAATCTGAGCAAATATGGATGTGTCGGAGTGCTGTGAAGATAATCCAGTTCATTATTTATATGAGTAACAAATGCTTGTTCCAACAGACAATGACAGATAATGTTCCCTATGTGTAAGAAATACTGGTTACAATATACAATGGCGGGCAATGATGCATAGGAGTAACAAAAAGATGCATATGAGTAACAAATGCTGGTTACAACAGACAATAGTACATTTGAGTAACAAATGCTGGTTACAACATATGATAACAGACAATGTCACATATGAGTAACAAATGCTAGTTACAACAGGATGCAAAACTGCATATGAGTAACAAATGCTGGTTACAACAGGATGCAAAAATGCATATGAGTAAAAAATGCTGGTTACAACAGGATACAAAAATGCATATGAGTAACAAATGCTGGTTACAACAGGATACAAAACTGCATATGAGTAACAAATGCTGGTTACAACAGGATACAAAACTGCATATGAGTAACAAATGCTGGTTACAACAGGCAATGGCAGACAATGTTGCATATGAGTTACAAATGCTAGTTACAACAGATAATGGCAGACAGTGTCACATAAATAAGTAACAAATGCTGGTAACAACAGATAATAACAGATAATGTAACTCACAAAGTAACAAATGCTGGTTACAGCAGACAATGACAAATAACAACACATGAGTAACAAATGCTAGTGATAACAGATAATAGCATACAATGTGACTCACAAGAAACAAATTTTAATGACAGCAGACAATGTAAAATATGAGTAACAAATACTAGTTAGAATGGCAGACAATGTTAACAAGTAATAAATCTGGTTAAACAGCACAAGCAGCCATCAGTAACAAATGGTGGTTACAAAAGACAATGGCATACAAAGCTAGATATCAGTAACTTTTGCTAAGTTCGACAGATGACAGCAGACAATGTTACCTTTTCTCCTGTAATGTTTCCTGTTATTCAACACATGAACTGAACTCCAGTGGGTCTGATAGTGATGGTGATGGGTTTCTTCCCCTTCCATGTCAGTGTCTGTCCAAAAATCGATGTTTAGTAAATTTCTTTTATCTGTCAAATAAGTTTGCTGATAACCTGCAGGACAGATAAACACCACATTGGTTTGAAATACTGAGTAAATGTCTGCTCTGACATAGTCTGTCAAAAAAAGTTTGCTGATAACTTGCAGGACAGATAAACAACACATTTTTTTTTTAAAGTACTGAGTAAATGTCTGCTCTGACATAAGTCTGTCAAATACGTTTACTGACAACCTACATGATAGATAAACAACACAATTTTTCTTTAAATACTGAGTAAATGTCTGCTCTGACATAAGTCTGTCAAATACGTTTACTAACAACATACAATATAGATAAACAACACAATTTTTAAAAAAAATACTAAATGATTGTTCTGACATAAGTTTCTCTTATCTGTCAAATAAGTTTGCTGATAACTTTCAGGACAGATAAACATCAGATTGGTTTGAAATACTGAGTAAATGTCTGCTCTGATATAAGTCTGTAAAATACATTTGCTGATAACCTACATGATAGATAAACAACACATTAAAAAAATACTGAGTAAATGTCTGCTATGACAAAAGTCTGTCAAATAAGTTTGCTGACAACCTGCAAGATAAATAAATATCACAATGGTCTGAAATACTGAGTAAATGTTTGCTATGACATAAGTCTGCCAAATAAGTTTGCTGATAACCTACAGGACAGATAAACACCATACTGGTTTGAAATACTGAGAGAATATTTGCTCTGACATAAGTCTGTAAAATACATTTGCTGATAACCTACATGATAGATAAACAACACATTAAAAAAATACTGAGTAAATGTCTGCTATGACATATGTCTGTCAAATAAGTTTGCTGATAACCTACATGATAGATAAACACCACATTTTTTTTGTAACTCTGAGTAAATGTCTGCTCTGACATAAGTCTGTCAAAAAAGTTTGCTGATAACCTGCAGGACAGATAAACATCAAATTCGTTTGAAATACTGAGTAAATGTCTGCTCTGACATTTGTTTCTCTTATCTTTCAAATAAGTTTGATGATAACCTGCAATATAAACATAACATTGTTTTGAAATGTTGAATAAATGTCTGCCTTTGACATAATTTCTCATATCAGTCAGTTAAGTTTGCTGACAGTTTGCAGGACAAATCACTGCACTGGTTTGAAATACTGAGTAAATGTCTACTCTGAGAAAGGTTTATCTTAATATTCAATTAAGTTTGTTGATAACCTGCAGTATAAACATCAGATTTGTTCGAAATACTGAATACATGTTTGCCTTTGACATACAGTTCTCTTATCAGTCAATTAAGTTTGCTGACAGCCTGCAGAGAAGAGAAGAAATGCTGACATTTTAAACAGATTAGAACATCAAGGAAGACTTGACTAATAAAGACTATCCTGTCTCGGGAAGCTGAAATATTTTGATCAAGCACCATGGCACCAGGAAGGAGGGGCAACAGTGATCTCACAAAGTGTCCAAAACAATTTGTTAAGGAAAAATTCAGAAAAAGAATTGTAATTCAATTACAACTGACTTGGGCCAAGTCTACTTTAAGTATGAAACCAAGTTAAGGAAAGAGAAGGCCACTCATAGAGATGAATGGGGGAAAGTGGTATCTGCAGCAATTAACCTCAAGTGCTCAGAATGCTGCAGAAGAAGAAGAATTGTTACACTGTTATTGTAATCATTTGTAACAAAATGAAACAAAGGAGAAACAACATTGTCATTACCAGAAATCAGAACACTTATCAAGAGAAAATTCAAGGAACTGCTCAGAAAACAAACTTACAGTAAACATCTACAAGTCCCCTTCAGCAGACTCAACAAAATGCAACATAAAACAATTTTCCATCTACGTACAGGACATTGCAGGCTCAACTACCACATGCATAAAATAAAGATTGTACAGTCCCCACAGTGTGCCTGTCAAACAGGACCACAAACACCTGAGCACATTCTGCAGACCTGCCCACTCTACCTACAACTTCGAAAAGACACCCAGCCTCAAGAGCAAAGTATGGAGAGCAAGCTATGGGGAACCATGAAGGAACTGCTGCTGACATGTGCGCTCACAGAGGCAACCCACCTGATGGTCTGATCTGAGCATACATAACCTAATGTAAAGAAGAAGAAGAAGAAGAAGAAATCATTTTTACTGTTACTGTTGTGGTGGTGGTGATGAAATTACCTGGGTTATCAACTTGCATGAACCGCTGGCTGAGTCTGTGGTAAACAATGTCATGGCCAACACTATTAAATCCATATCTGAAAGATTGTCAGAAAACTGCATTATTTGATCTGCTACACCAAACAACTGATAAATCATCATCACTATCACCTTTTTGTACCATTACATGTCATATAGGGCTCACAGTCTAACCCTCCACGCCACTATATTCTGTGCAAGCCTTTCCAAATGAGAGGTTCTCAGTCCTGCAGCTTTGACCCCTCTATCAACAATGCTCGTTTTAGTACTTAATGCAGTAACTGGACGGAGGAGGATTTTTCATATACAAAAATCACAAATAGTGAGAAGCAAGTTTATTTAAAAGACCAGTTTATAACAAGACCAGGGGCAGACTGCTTTAGTGACCATGTTCCAGTTGTAGGAAAAATTAGAATAAAACTAAAGAACATTAGAAAAACACCACAGAACATCAAGTTAAATTTAGGAATTCTTAAAACGGATAAAAGAAATTAAGGAACAGTGTCACTGTACAAAAACCGGTATAATGCAATAGAAATTATACAGACTATTGATGAACAGTGGGATATGTTGCGTGAGTCAATTCAGCAGACATCAAAAGAGGCAATCCCACCAACCCATACAGTTGCAAAAAAGAAATGGATGTCAACCGAAATTCTGCAGTTGATGGATGAAAGAAGGGAAGAAAAAGAATGATAAAGAAGAATACTCTAGAATGCAAAAAGAAATAGTGAACAAATGCAAAGTGGCTAAAAAAGCCTGGCTGAATTGTGTACAGAGATTGGGGAAAATCACGGGAAAGACTCACATTCCCTGTTACCAACAGATAAATATAGTTAACAGGAAAGATGACACGTAACAGCACTGGATGTTTGAAATTAAAGGATGGTGACTTATTAATGGGACATAGTAATATAATTAACAGATGGACAGAGTATATAGGGGAATTGTATGATGATAATAGACCAGACGTAGAACTGCAGACTGATCTGTACTTATGCTTCATAAACTATACAAAAGCATTTGACTGTGTGAAGCATGAAGAAGTAATCAAAAAACACTGGGAAAAAGATCTAAGAATAATAAAGAATATGTATTGGCAGCAAACAGCAGCTATAAGAATTAACAACTGTTTTACATTTCAAAGCATAAAGAGGGGCGTACGACAAGGATGTGTACTTTCACCTGATTTGTTTTCAATATACAGTGAATATATTATGAGATCTTTAATTGATATACCCGGAATTGTGGTTGGTGGGAACAATATAAACAATTTACGTTATGCTGATGACACAGTCTTAATAGCAACAAGTCAGAAAGAATTACAGGAAATGATAGATATTGTGGTGTTAGAAAGTGGAAGAATGGGCCTCAGTTTGAATAATGGGAAGACAGAAAAATGGTGTATCAAAGAAACAAATTATTTTTAAATGTGTAAGAAAAAGTCAATGGTGTTATTTTAAGACAAGTACAGAAATTTAAGTATCTGGGCACATGGATAACATCAGACGGAAGATGCATAACTGAAATAAGAAACAGAATTGGACAGGCAAAAACAGCATTTTATAAAATTCTTGTGCAATATATCCTTGTCATTGAGAGTTAGAAAAAGAATTCTTGCCTTGCTACATACATCCAGTTTTAACATATGGATGTGAATCCTGGACCTCGGTAGGCAAGCCAAACAATTTTTAGAGGCCTTAGAGATGTGGTTTTACAGAAGAATGTTTAAATACCTTGGACAGCCACAAAAAGAAACAACCAAGAGGTTTTAAAAGAGGCGGGAGACCGAAGACAACTTATTCACTGACATCAGAAGGAGACAGTCATCATTTTTCGGCCATGTTATGAGAAGAGGGAAAATAGAACATGTTGTGACCACTGGAAAGATCTGTGGAAGGAATAGAGGAAGACAACGAGGAAGATGCTTGACAGTCTTGTCATGGCATGGAGGTGTGTTGATACATGCTGCAGGAGAAATGGAGAGGCATGATCGACGCCAGTCGGCAAGGCAATGATGATGATGAGTTTACATATGTTGTTAGCAATTATGACAAATATGTGACAGAAAAAGATGTGACAGAAAAAGATGTGACAGAAAAAGAACTAGGCCATTGGTCTCCAACCTTTTTCAGGTGGCGCCCCATTCCCTCCTTGAGTATATGGCAAGAACCCATGCTACGCTGTGTCATTATTAACAAGAACTTGGAGAAAAACTTCCCTATAAATCTAAGTGTCAAATAACATGAAAGATACTTCTATTCTTTTCTCTACTCCTGGATGCCTCGCGTGGCGTCAAAACAGGAAGAGATCTCTGGAACGGGCCCTTCTGATTGTTTTATATAAAGTACAAAATACACAATCACCAATTATTGGTAATTTCAGTGTCTGAATGTCAACGGGGTGGTTGTCACTGTTTTGTCTTGATGATATCTGCAATGTTTGGTCAGATATTAGACATAGTACAATAGAGATCATGCTCCGCATCAAACTGAAAACGCTGCTGTGTCTTTATGACTGTTTAAGCTGAAAATATGCATTCAAAAAAGTATGTGGAGGAACATGCAAAAAAACACATTTATTGCCAACTTTAAAAGTAAAGGTCCCTTTCCAACACCTTTAGGCGTATAGGGCATATAGGGCTAGACCTATATTTTTATAGACCAATCGGCACAAGATGGGTGATGTGGTCAGCATCAGGCCCGGCCACCTTTTACTTCCTGGGACTGCACCTAGTACCTAATCAAGGCTGGGTTTACCTGGCAGTCAAGGTCATTTGTGAAAAAAGTCTATCTCCGCCAGGGAGCAAACCCACGAGCATTCCAATCTGCACACGAGTGTCTAGCCGCTGTGCCACAGTGACTCCCACTGCTAGCTTTGGCCACATGAATTACAAGTACAACTACACTCAGTTTCAAAATTGATGGATGACCCTCTTGAAACCTCCCCAGGTTGGAGACCAATGAACCAGGCAGACAAAGAACCCTCTCAGACAGTAAAACTCAAAATCACAATCACACCTGTTTATGACAGCTTTATCCTCATCAAGTCGAAACAGTCTGGGTTTGGGATTACCCGGCTGAGGTTTAGGGGTCACGCTGCCAACTTCAACAAAGCCGAAACCCATTTTCAGGAGCCCATCTATGCCCTCAGCGTGTTTGTCAAATCCGGCTGCCAAACCAATTGGATTCGGGAATGAACGGCCCCACACCACTGTTTTCTAGACAGGCAGAAAATGTATTTGTGTCAACATAAAAATGTACCATTACTATCCAAGGTGCTAAGGTAGCTTAGTGGTTAGACCCCCAACATGCTGAGCAGAATGGCAAGGGTTTGAATCCCCATCAAGGCAGTTTTTTTTTTTTTTTTTTTTCAAACTTGACTTAGGCTTCCAGGTTGACCTAGTCTTCCTCTTCCTCTTCTTCTTCTTCTTCTTCTTTCTCTTCCTCTTCTTTTTCTTCTTCTTCTTTCTCTTCTTCTTCTTTCTCTTCTTCTTCGATTTCTTCTTCTTCTTCTGCTTCTTCATCTGCTTCTTCGATTTCTTCTTCTCCTTCTGCTTCTTCGATTCTTCTTCTTCTTCTTCTTCTTCTGCTTCTTCGACTTCTTCTTCTTATTCTGCTTCTTCAATTTCTTCTTCTCCTTCTGCTTCTTCCATTTCTTCTTCTTCTTCTGCTTCTTTGATTTCTTCTTCTTCTTCTTCGATTTCTTCTTTTTCTTCTGCTTCTTCGATTTCTTCTGCTTTTTTGATTTCTTCTTCTTCTTCTGCTTCTTTGATTTCTTCTTCTTCTTATGCGCAACATTCACCGGCTGTAGACGGCTGGAATATTTTGGTTTATTGTCCAGTACTTGAGGTTTGCGTGCACATCTATTTTACAGATCTGGCTTATTTGCATGCAGTTTGTTGGTTCTTTGCCTCCCATACAGATGCACTCTAACTTTAAAGGAAACATAAAGGAAACAACCTTAATTATTCATGTTTTACAACACATGTGTTATGGGTGGATCGTGGTCCTATTCTTATTTTCTACAAAATGGGTCTCTAGGACCCCACACAAGGAGACCCAATCTTTAACAAGTGCCAAGTAATGTCCTTGAATGTCAAGGTGATGAGACAAATGGTGACATCATTATCCACCAAGAGCCAATTGGTCTATAAAACTATAGGTCTAGCATCATATGTCTGAGAGACCACTGGTGTAGAAAGGAGCTTTACTTACTTTATTGTGACAGTTTTGTGGACTGCCCTCAAATGGGGGGGGGGGTGACTGATTACATACTTCTTCTTTTTGTTCACCGGCTGTAAACTCCGGCAGAAAGTTCTGGTTGTTCATCCACTTCTGGACTTTTAGTATTTTTTTCCAGAACCTGAGTGTTGCGTGTGTATCTGTTTTACAGATATGACTCATTTGCGTACAGCTGTTGGTTCCTTGTGTCTCAGGCAGGTGCACTCCAACTTCAAAGGAAGCTGCCAGTTAGCTGACTCTTACAACATGCTTTTGGGTCTATTCTTGTTTTCCCTATAATAGGGCCCTGGAACCCACACATGGAGATTACATTCAGAATGACGTGTATTTTTCTGGGTGAAATGGCAGCTTTTCTGACTGACCATTTGTGCCAATAGTGAGCTGCAATTCTGGTAACAGACTGTTAATGATGGCACATTTAACTGCTGCCTTAAACACTTTTACTTTGCATGAACAAGCTTCAAGATTTTGCTGGAACTGACTAGTTTTTCACTAGTTTTCAAATGGGACAGTAAGGACATTTCATGTGATTTCTACTGGCAAAGGAACTGAGCATTTTTGGGGTGATCTATCTGCAGTGCTGCTGAAACCTTGACTAATAGCTAATTACTTCTGACTATCAGGAGCTAGAGCAGTGCAGTGATGTTGAAACCTTGACTAATAACTAATTACTTATGACTATCAGGAGCTAGGGCAGTGCAGTGATGTTGAAACCTTGACTGATAACTAATTACTTCTGACTATCAGGAGCTAGGACAGTGCAGTGATGTTGAAACCTTGACTAGTAACTAATTACTTATGACTATCAGGAGCTAGGGCAGTGCAGTGATGCTGAAACCTTGACTAGTAACTAATTACTTATGACTATCAGGAGCTAGGGCAGTGCAGTGCTGCTGAAACCTTGACTATCAGGAGCTAGGGCAGTGCAGTGAACAACTAATAATAATTACTTCTGACTATCAGGAGCTAGGGCAGTGCAGTGATGCTGAAACCTTGACTGATAACTAATTACTTCTGACTATCAGGAGCTAGGGCAGTGCAGTGATGCTGAAACCTTGACTGATAACTAATTACTTATGACTATCAAGAGCTAGGGCAGTGCAGTGATGCTGAAACCTCAACTTATAACTAATTACTTATGACTATCAGGAGCTAGGGCAGTGCAGTGATTAGCCCACCCACCATGTCTAAATTAAAGTAAAGGTTGATCTGTAATATCCTGTTAGGAATGTGCAATGTGCATCAAATGTTCTGTTACCCTTCCAACGAGTTTATCTTTGTTACATCTTCAACTAAATTTACAGCAAGAGGAAGTTGAATCAGCTTAAGAACCGAGACCACAGCACTCAAAACATTCCTGTAGGCCCTCCGTCTCCATCTTCAGCATCCCGTGTAGAATTTCAATACCAGTAGAATGAATGTATGTACATCTTTTTCACTGGAACTTGTGTCAACCAGATCTCCTGGGCATTCCCCGCTGCAGCACTGAGCACTTCCTGCGGCACCACTGGGCATTCCCCCACTGCACCACTGGGCACTCCTCGCTGCAGCACTAAGCATTCCCCGCTGCACCACTGGGCATTCCCCGCTGCACCACTGAGCACTCCCCACTGCAGCACTAAGCATTCCCCGCTGAACCACTGGGCATTCCCCACTGCACCACTGAGCACTCCCTGCTGCACCACTGGACATTCCCTGCTGCACCACTGGGCATTCCCTACTGCACCACTGGGCATTCCCCACTGCACCATTGGGCATTCCCCGCTGCACCATTTTCTTGAGACTTTGATGACCCAACTGAGCCTCGGCACTGTTCACTTGTTCCCAATACAAATAAGTCAATAGTAAAGCACCCTTTTCCAAGCCTGGTCATAGTGAATATAAAGCACTATTCCCATATTATTTTACTAATCGGGACTCAACAGATAGTGTGCTCAATGTGACATCGGTCACCTTTACTTTCAGGAGTGGAGGGTCTCTGTGGCAAAGTGGTCAAGCTGTCTGACTCACACTCTGAAGGTCACGGGTTTGTTTCACTGAAGTGCCATTTGGGTCACGAGTGTAGGTTTTATGAAGATCGATGGGTATCATTACTGGAGCTATAGAGTCAGTGCAATGAAGTTGATGCTCTTGAGTTTAACTTTCCAGATAATTTCTGAGAAGGCTCTGTAAACCTGGAAGATCAGGTCACAGAAAAAAAATGCATACCCTTGAAAAGGGATTTGAAAGTTTGCCTGTCAAGCTCGCAAGCATGCATTTTAGTCACTGTGCTCACTAAGTAGGTTCTAGGCACCATTTAGGGGGGGGGGGGGGGGGGGGGGGGGGAGATAAATAGAGTTTTAGAAAGAACGCAAGTTTAGACCCGCTGCTCATTAACAAGCATGTCATAAAAAGCAAATAACTAGGGATTTGCTGAAACTGGATGTGTTAGGCAGAAAGGTGCAGATACTGCAGCCTAGTTGTAAAACATAACACAGTGTGCCAACCACCCTTTTACAGGTAAGCACAGAAGAACAGAAGAAGTTACTGTGGTACTGCATCTCTTCGAGTATATGGTGCTCTTTCCCATACTGGTGCTGACCATGGCACTCAGTGAGACAGTATTGTGAAAGCCTTCTACTTCCTTTCTTCCACTTACTTCAATGAGGATTTCAAAAGGTACTGATCGTCTACATGCTCTTCATAAAACCTGGCATAAGCTGATCATTTCTGAGACTGTTCTTGATACTCTCATTACATTGTTTGGTCTTACTCTTGCTCTATGTTCATTACATCTGTATATTTAGCTTGGTCTCTGTGGCAAATTATCATTACCCTCAAATGGCCAAACTATCTCATTTGTTATACTATAATAAACAGCATGATTGGTTTCAGTCCTAGTCTCTTGTCTTATTTCTTCACAGTTAATCTGATCTCTTCTTGTCACTGTTGACAGTCTCTAAAAGGTAAAGGTAAAGTCGGGAGATGTAAACCAGCGTCATTGTACATGGTTAATAACCATAAGGTGTTCTGTCCACCAGTATGGACAGCTGATAAGAAACTGTCCGCCTGTGTCGCCATCCGCACATAGCTATTTACCCCAGAGTATTAACTCTGGCACCCATTTGCCCCGGCCGTGGGCTGCAGCAATCGCAGCTGGATTTGAAAGCGAGTCACCTATCGACTATGCTAATGCGACCCCGTTGACAGTCTCTGAGGACATGTCATCTCTGTTGTTATGAATTATTTAAGGTAATTAAAAGTTTAAATCAATTGAAATCTTACAAGCGAAGGTGGATCCAAAGTCTGCACTCTGGGTACAATCTTGAACTTGGCAAGTTTGATGCTCAGGTTGTGAGCTGTTTCTGGTGGTAAGAAATGAAGCAATGGCATGGCAATTTCATCATAGAATTTCTCATTTCCTCGGTACAGATTGATGCCGGCAAACAGTGCTATACCACCATTGATAATAACAGCTGCTTGCTTCAACTGAACCTGTGTCAAATTATAAAAACAGAAGTTCATGAATCTCTTTTCTTCTTCTTAGCATTCGCCGGCTGTAAACTCTGGCAGAAAGTCCTGGTTGTTTGTCCACTTCTGGACTTCAGCTCTCAGGGGTCTTCGAAGGAGATGGAGATCCTATCTGCACTGGTCAGGCCCTCTGGAGATCTTATCTACACTAGTCAGGCCCCTAGAGATCTAATCTACACTGGTCTGGTCCCCAGAGATATTTTCTACACTGGTCAGGCCCTTAGAGATCCTATCTACACTGGTCAGGCCCCCAGAGATCCTTTCTACACTGGTCAGGCCCTGGGTTCAGAATATGTTTCTAGGATGACTGAAAAGAAGTAAACAAGTGTTGACCAGGGGTTGCCAAAGACCATTACAAAACACATATTCACTGACGTTATGAAGTTGGGACGAAAATAATTGCATGGTTGGGGATCACCATAAAATGAGGTACTGTATTAAAGGGTCCCGGCATTAGGAAGGTTGAGAACCCCTGTTCTAGATGGTCACATTTACAGCAAGCTTGTTGGGGCCAGTCGGGGCAGTCTGAACTGAACAACACTGAACTGAATCTGAACACTGGGATCCCCCAAAAAAAAATTAATTACTGTTTTCTTAACAGATTCCTCTTTTATGAGACACCCATTAACTCTTTGAGTCCCAGAGGGTTTAGCAGCACAGGCCCAAGGGGTAGTCAAGAGAGACGTAAAATCGGCGCATTATGTGTTCATTGAGCTTCTAGGCAGTAACCTATGAACATATCATGCGTTCCTTGGGACTCAAAGAGTTAATTATGGGGAGTCACTGTGGTGTTGGCAGCTAGACGCCTGCCTGCTTATCAGAAGGTCGTGGATTCGCATCCTGACAGAGCCAGACTATTTTTTTTTCAAAAATGACTTTGACTTCCAGGTCGACCCACCCTTGAGTGGGTACCAGGTGCAGTTCCGGGAAGTAAAGGTAGTCGGCATGATGCAGACCACATCACCCACCAAGTACAGAATGGTCTATAAAAATATAGGTCTAGCCCTATATTCCCAATGTGCCTAAAGGCGTGGAAAAGGAACCACTAATAATTGAATCACGAGAACTTAGTTTAATATGATATGAATTTAAATCAATGAGTGAAATCATAGTAAGTCCTGTGAGTTTATTTCTAGCCTCTACCTTCACATAATTGGGTTTAAAATGTTATACAGTGAAGTGTTACCAGGAACAATATGTGTATGCCATATCTTTTACTATCATTCAGTTTAGTTCAATATTATGTGAGTACTGTTCATAAAGTAAAGTCACAGCAGGGCCAATGTATATTTTCTGATTGCCTTTACTGAGATATAACTGAGCTCACAATGATGTGAACACTAATCACAGAGTGAAGTTACTGCAGAACCATGTTTTCTTTTTTGCTAGGCTGTTAACTCAGTTCAAAATTATTGAGCACTAGACACAATGTTTAGTCACAGCAGGGTTAGTGTATTTGTGATGTAAACCTTTACAGGCGTTGTAGCAGTGATAGTGCAACGGAAGTGCATATATGGACAGCTGTCATCTTTTCTTTAAAGTTAACAAAGCTGGTCGAGAGAGGGATCATGCTGAATGGGCAACACATAGTATCAAGAAGAGTCCCCAGGCTTTGTGCTATGGAGAGGAGGAAACGTGTTAAATGGTGTATAGCATAATGCCTGTGTATAGCATAATGGAACACTATTGCCTGGAAAGACCGAAAAGTTCCGGCAAACTAACAAAATGAACAGTGACACTTATTCCTGTGAAGTAACAAAGAACATAATGTAAGTAGGAATTGTATTCACACTGTAATTAAACTGAAATTATATGTACATCATTTGTTGTAGCAGCAATGTTCTGTATAAGTTATGTCATCTGCTACCCTAGAACTGTCTTTCGTCTACAACCAAATTTGCGTACACCACTAGCCAAACATAAAATACACTATATTTTAATGCCTTAGGCACCGAACCTGCAAGCAAGTTAAACATTTTCGAGAGCATACATTCTTTTTGTGGCACCTTGTGAATGTGAGTCACTGACTTTTGAACTGAAATGCTACAGAAAGATTCTTAGTATCCCGTGGACCAAGAAGAAGAAAAACACTGACATCTTGTATAACCTGAACATCAAAGAGAACTGGCTTGTAAACAGCATCCTCTCCCAAAAGCTGACATTATTATAGACTTGTCAAGTCCAATGTGGGTCTGTAAAGAACGGTGGCTGAAGTTAAAGTTTCGGGAAAATGAGGCAGAGGTCGACCTAGGCATAGGTGGATACAGGGCACTAAAGAAACATTGGCTATGTAAGCACACGAGGCTGGAGAATTGGCTAGAGAAATAATTTTAGGTGTGCCATGAAGAGAGTGATGTTATGTAAAAGACATGCTGATTTATTGACTGATATTTTAAATACAATTCAAAACGAGTACATTTGAAGTATTTTTTGGCTATTAGGAAAAGTCAACCTAAACAAGAAGGATAACCAGTTAGCTTCCAAGTAAAATACTATCATCACCATCATGTGTTAGGTCCTTTGCCAAACATCACTTTCTTCAGAGCCCAACTTAAAGAAATGCTATCATAAAAGACAACACTTTCTCTGGACAAAGTCCTTAGGAGGAGAAAGGGGACAGTCAAAATAGTAGCATCAAAGATTTCTTGTATTCATTTCCAGAAATGGCTCAGGTTTTTGTTTGTTCAGGTCACAGCCTGTGCACTAAGTGGCCACTGCTTGAGCAAGTAGTCGGCTATCCTCTGAATAACGGTCGTAAATTATCGAGGTAAAAAATATACCCTAACAGGGCCTCAGTCACGTGTCAATTGCGCAGTTCCGTCATCTTAAAATGCGAGCTTCCGCCGTCTTCAGCCACCGCCGAATCGCAAACTTTCGGCAACTTCCGCCACCGCTCACGCGGCGTGGTTTGGGGTTAAACTAGATGGCTAGGACTCACGAGCAGCAGCTACCGCATCTCCTGCAGCTTCCTTCATTTTATTTGCTTGTGAGTCCTAGCCATCTAATTTAGCCCCAATCCATGCGTGAGAGGCGTGGGGGACACTCTCGGCGGTGGCAAAAGTTGCCGGAAGTTTGCAATTCGGCAGTGGCATTATAGTCCCCAAGTGCGCAACAGACACGTCACTGAAGCCTTGTTAGGGTATATTTTCAGCCTCACTAATTTACGACCATTTTTCGGAGGATAGCCAAGTAGTCTTTACTCCTGGCTCATGAAAAGCCCTCCGTGGACACACACCAGTAGCGGTAGATGATTGCCAGGGTTCATGGATGAGAAAACAAGAGGTTTTCTACGCTGTAAGCTAAGAGTACAAAGAACACATACTATTTGTGTAGGGTCAAGAGCAAGTTCTTAAAAAAGAACGACGATACGGAGAAAGATAAATGACCTTTAATAAATTTGGACCAAGGTACAACACAACATAAACAGTGTACTTTGTCTTGTATAAGTCAGTACTTCAGCACACAAACATCACGTACTCCATCACTGTTATTATATTGCTAACGACTACGTTTTAATTCTATGTCATAATTCGTCAAGAATAATAATTATATTATAGGTAGTCCATAATTACCATAAATATAACGGGACAATCACTGAAAATGAAGGTTTCTTCTTTCACTTTGGAAACGGATCGCTCCTTCCATTTCTTCCCCTCCGGTTTGACCCCCCTGCGATTTCAAACTCTTAATCCTGGATGGCAAACCAGCAAGGCATATCCCAGATTATCTAGTTCAACATCTAAAGAAGTTATAATTGGGGGACTCGTTGGCTAAGCTAGGCTAGTCTGGTGTAAATTGGCGTCCTGTGTGCGTGAAGAACTGAAAAGGTTCATGTCGGAAAACAAGCCTTGTCAACAAAAACAAACATCAAACAAGGTCACCGGTGTTTCTACAAATACATGCAAACTTTCTAAACGAATCCCACAAATGACTTTTTGTATTTGTAAATTAGACTTCCCTGATGATTTACGTGTGGTATAAGTGTGCGAAATGAAGATAATACTCACCCAAAATATTTTGGATCCTGGGTTAGCGATATGTAGTGCGTTCATTCCAGCTTCGTTTCTGCGTCTGCTATTTCATACTTCAGAGGTTAAAGTTCAGGTGTCATGGCCATGACCTGTGAATGTTGTTACTGTTTATAAAGTCAGATGGTAGTGTGGTTAGAATGCAAGGCTGTCATTCGGGTGGATTGGCTTTGAACCCTCATTATTATGGTGAATTTTTTGTTTGTCTGGTTTGTTGAATCCCTAAAATTCCCTGGGTATCTATTTTCTGCTTTGTGCCGATAGGCGTTGCATGTTAACAGATGGCCGTTGCATTTTTGCTCCATTTGTAGACTGGAAGGATATAGTTTCGTCACCCAGCTTCTGAGTTGAGTGCATGGTGTGACACTGTGAGCTACGAGTGTTTTTCGTTGGCACAGGAGCGGAGCAACAATGGGGTGACCCGTTTGCTATGATGCTGAAACTAGGATTACCAGATTACCAGATGTTAACAGATGATCGGTTTTCCGAGCTATGGCTGACTCTGTTGCCCGGTATGCTGTGATGTTGTGGAGTCTCAAAATATCAGTGACCCCGTCAATCCATCCTTTTCTTGGTAGTCCCTATCTCTTGGTGTTCTACTTTTATGTTGTACACTCTCGTTTTCTACATCATTGGATTAATTCTCATTAAATGACCAAACAATTTCAGTCTTTGTCAAATGATTTATTTATAGACGTTGTTTCAATAGTTCTAGTAATTTCTTCGTTTCTCGCGGGATCTCTTTTAGTTTTGTTCACTGCCTTTCTCACACATTTCATTAAGTCGCAGGTGGTTAGTTTTCTGTCGTGCTCTTTAGTCAACATCCAAGTCTGACACTGCAGCTGTTATTTAGTTGGTATATGAGGTCCTGTAGCTGTCATTTAGTAGGTATATGAGGTCTTGTAGCTGGTATTTAGTTGGTATATGAGGTCCTGT